GCGCGTCAACTTTGCAAAATATTGTAAAAATGTACGCCTTAGTTATAACGGCATTTTAAAAAGATATACAAATATACTGCAAATAAGTTTAAATAATTTTAGAATTCGTTTTTGTAAATGTTAATATAAAATAGTATTAAAAAATAAAAAAATATTATTTTTTAGAAAGCATATGTTTGAGAAATATTGAAAGAATGGCATGTTTAGAATTGAAGGGATGGACGGAATAAAGGCCTAATTATAAAATCTTAATATTAATAAAAATTAAAATAACTTGCTTACTATTTTTATTATATACATAAATAAATACAATGTTAAATGAATTTATGTAATGTCTTTAAGAAGTTACATGTTATAAATCGTCTCTATTACGATCAATATTACATGAAATAGCTAATTGCCGGAAAAAGGGTCTAAGTAGAATTGTGCCTTTATTCTGCCCATCCCTTCAATTATAATTGCAATTAATAATCCATATGGATAATTTCATTCAAAAATAAAGTTAATTATTATACAATATAAAATGTAAAAAAGCATAATTTTAAAAAGTGTGTATCTTTGATAAAAATGAAAAGAATAACAAGTTAAAGATTATGATTATAATTAATAGCGCATTTATCTCGTTTAAGATGCTCTTGAAATACAGAAGTGTTAAACCAGTTGCAGGGTTTCAGGCGTAAGTTGCCTTACCTTTGCTGTACAAATGTGTTAAGAATACGTTTCTCTTATTTCTTCTTTTTTATAAGATTCTTATTGTCTTATTTTTTACTTATTTTTATATAGTTAATAAAATTCTACATTTTTAATCATTTTTAAACATTTAATCTAAAACTTTGAAAATCTTCAAAATTTAAATTCTAATGCTCTGTCCTCAGCGTGATTTAAGATAAAGAAAATAAAACATCGGAATTTTACATGTCCATTGATGGCAGGCAAACGCGCAGTTGTTCTGTCTACTTAACCTATTGGGTTAAGTAGACTACATTATAAAAAAAAATATTTATGTAATCAAAAAAGTTCAAAATTAAAAAGTTTAAGTCGAGAATGATTTTAAGGGCGAAAGATAAATTCGAAGTCAAATTGATTTTAAAGTTTCGGCTACGCGATGTTTGGTTTGCCTCTTGAACTACAAATATTATTCGTAAATGTCTTAGGCCTGGTAAATATCTCAATCTTAATAGCGTACATGTGACAGTATTTTATAGAATTTAAATAAAACTTAAAGATTTAAATTCTTTTACAATACTTTTGGAATTGTAAATCGTAAAAGTTAATTTCAACAAGCACACATTTCAATCATATACAATATATATTATAACGTTGCATACTTATTAGTTACACTTTTACATATTAATTATTTAAATTGCTATATATAATTATTATAATTACGATATAATATATAATATTATTTCAATTATGTTCTATTATATTATAGTTATGTTCTATTTTAATTATCTTATTAGCAATTTAAATAATTTTTTAAATTAACCTCGATTTTCAATTTTAACATCAAAAATTTGAAATTTGCGCATTGTTATTTATCTTACTTAAATTAAGTGTGTTACATCATTTATCAAGGTCAGCACCACTTTAAACTGGAACTGGTTCAAGTGGGACCAGCAGCTAGAGAAGATCTCGAACGTCTCAGTTTCACAATCCGACAAATTGAATGTAGAGAATATCGACTGGCTTAAGACGAGTTAGCACTTCGTTTTGTATACTCGACACAAAAAGATACAATTCTTATTGTATCTGCTGGTATAATCTCAAATTATTCCTGTCATAGAAGTAAGAGCTAAAGATGAAAAATTTCTTCAGTTCTATCATGGATTGTCGTCACACGATTTATCATCGATCGCATCTCGCTCCTCGCATACGTGGCTAATATTTACACAGTAGTGACGCGAAGCCGGCATAATTTGCTCATACTTTGGATGGTACTCAGTTTTCTTAAAGATATTATTCTGGAAGTCGTCGTGATTATCATTACATTCCTGTTATGGCATGCTACGAAGGAAAGCTTTCCAACATCGCTCCTTGTTGAGTTCGTTGTAGATAAAATAATAAGTCTGAGTGGTAATAATAATAATAATAATAATTTTAATTAGTAAGTAGAAATAGAATTGATTAGTAGTAAGAGGTACACAGATGTAGTGCAAATATATTCTCTAAGTTCCTTGGAGTGGAATCTCACTCTAAAGAACGAAAATTGAGCCAATGTTGAAAAAGAGTGACTCAATTTTCAATCCTTAAGAGAAAATTTCACTCTTCAGAATGAGATTCAGTCTAAAAGTTTTAGAGAATAGATGATTAAATCACAAGTTCCTTTTTCTCTGCGAAAACCTTAATTATTTCAGTTATCTCGACCGGCAAGTGGTGCACGACCCTCAAATGGTATATGCAGCTACAAAGGATGGCAAAAATCCGTAAATTTACAATAATAGCGCGGAAAAGTATCGCGAGTATCGCTAATATGCCCGGCAGAGTTGGTCGTTCTCTGGACGATGAGTGTCTTGGTATAGCGATAATTAGACGAGGCAAGTATGCGAGTCTATTAAATCTGGACAGGCACTCTGAGGAATCTTTCAACAGAATGAACGCGAAATCCTTGTCGACCTTAACTGACGACACGAGTAGCACGAATGGCGCGAACGGCGCGAACGGCGCGAATGGCACGAACGATTACAATTCCAACGATTTGAGCGTGGCTGAAAAATCAATGAGAATGCTGAATGTAACCGCGGAAGATGTGATGGATGCGCGTGCCAGGATACAAGAGCGATCTTACTGGAACGAGCAAGAGACAATTAAAACACCTGAAGTGAAAAAGGATGTAATAAAGCAACTTCCTTTGGAAAAGAACGAAGAAGAAACAATCAATTCAGCAAGAAACACACAGCTAACGGAGAATAATTTAGCAAAAATTGTGAATAGTACCTCGAGAAAAGAAGACAGTATGGAGTGTATTCCAGTGAAGAAAAAAGAAGAAAAAGGTAATGGAGAAACTATTCTGGTTGACGAGAAAGAACAGATTTTGACCGAAAATCAGAACGATGTTTCGTTGAAAAGCGAAAACGTCACATCTGACAAAGTGAATCACGCGAAATCAACGGAATCTCATGATATTTATGAATCGAAGAAGAAAAGGGAAGAGAAAAAGGAAGGAGTTGAAAAGATCGTGCAGTGTCCTTCGTTCCAGAGTATGAATGCAAGAAACACAGAGGCTAAGCCATGTGCCTCCCTCATAAGAAAATTAGAAGCGAAGTACTGTCCCGTTTCTGTAAACCGACGGAAGTGGATCGATAGAGTCGATCGTAAAGAGTACCCTTATGAAGTCAGCACACAATTAACGCCAACTAGTTCAAGCACAAGTAAAAAAGAACGTTATAAGATCCTGAAAATCTCATGCGGGTGTCATCGTGCTTTGCATAACAATTCGAAAAATGGGAAACACGTGCGATCAATCGGTATCAATGGTAAAAACGTTGATTTTGATATTAATCGAAAAGAATTTGAATCTTTTAGACCTATCGTCAATATGCAGAGAAGCAAGATTGACAAAACCGCGTTTAAATATTCAGAAGTATATCGTTTAAAGAAGCAAATTCAGAAATGGGAAGAATCTTACGGTAAGCACTCCCGGGGAAGTAAGTCTTTAGCTGAAACTGCACGTTCCTCGGCATATGCGAAAGATGTCTTTGATGCATCTGATAAGCTGTCTGTTGTAAATTGTCGAAAGAGCGTTCAGACTGAAACTTATGACGAGTCGAGGATGATGAGCGATTCTATGAGTGAACGACACAGATTGAAATACAAACAGAAACGAAGTAGACGACCGGTCAATTTGCGTTCCGTTCACGATGTGGCATCATTTAGAGAAATGAATTATTCGGAGGCACGCGAAATAAACATGAAAGCTTTAGAAACCAATAATAATTTTACGTTGGAAAATAAAAGAGAAACGAAAGCGAAGAAAAGGCGAGATCTGCTGCCGGCGAATCGGAAACTATCGATCGAGCAACGCGAAGCGATAGAGTTGAAAGCTTTAAAAGCTTATAACGAGCTTACCTTGTCAGAGGATAAGAGAGAATTGGAAGTAAGAAAGGACCGAGATTCATCGTTGAATCACAGACGATTGACGAAGGAATCCGAAGTACTAAAGATGAAAGTTTTAAAAACTTATAATGATTCCTTATTGGAAGATAAAAAGGAGATGGAGAGAACTAGAACATATAATTTGTCGCCAAGTTTCCAGCAATCGATTGATGAACGGAGTACCTCGAGAGTTTGTAACAAACTTAAACAATCGGGAAGCAAGAGAGAGCTGCGAACTAGGAGAAAACGCGATTCATCGAGAAATGAAACGCTATCGGAATGTGAAAAAGTCGAGACTCCAGCGAGCGTCTCTAATCGTCCTCCAATAAGTAGTTGTGAGAATACCATGATCTCCACACGTCAGAACATACACAGCAATTTTGGTTTAAACGATCGTTACGCAAGACAGGCGCGTATGTCGCTGAATCTCTGGGAGATTACGAGAAACATCGAATGGACCGTTCATCCGCGGGGTATTATACTCATCAATAAGAATCTACAAAGTCAATATCTAAAGAATGAGAGATTTCGCGAAAGCCAACAACGCGATATTGTTGATGACAGCACTGCCAGCACGTTGCACAGCGCTTTCTTCTTTAAACCCGAGATCGTAACGCGGGTCTTTCGTCGCGTTCATAACCAGACGAGGATCGACGAGTTCTTCTCGAGGTTTCCGACGTTCCTGCGGCAAGACTTCGACATGGAGTTTGCCTGTCAAATGAACAACGAGGTGGTCGTGCGCCATTGGAACTCGCCGCTCGACTGCGATCTCGAACGGATGATGGGAAACGATCGAAACAATCTTGAAGAGCAATTCAACGTTAATGACAATAGCAATACTACAAGCGAGCATGATCACGATCTGTGTATAATAGTCATTGATCAGGAACAGGTTTCCAACGAATCGCAAATTGCGATAGAAGATTCGATGACCGTCGAAACTCAGGAAAACATTGAAAATATTCAAATGACGAATATTTTGGTATTCAATGAAAATCTTAATCACGTGGATAATGCAACCAACGATAATTTGCCAATTCAATTGATCACAGATGCATTAAGAAATTTCAATATCGAGACAGAAGGAAGTATACGCGATGCTGCATTGCCGATCGAAGAGTGCGAAGACGTAAGTAATGCGAATGAATGTAATAATTCTCAACCTCGAGAACTTAAGGTGGATGATATAAATTTCAACGAAGAAAACAATAACGAGTCTGACAGAATTTCTTCGCATAAAAATGCAGAAATTGACGATACAATCCACAAAATTGAGCAACTATTGGATTCAAACGATAATTGTCTAGATAACGTAAATGTTACATCGTATGTTAATTCGTTAGAAAAATTAGATAATTCGAGAGATGAAAAAAAATTAAGTACAATCGATGTTCTTTCTGAAAGCGAGAATAATTTATCTCTCAAAAATATTGCTAACAATACATCACAATTATCCGATAATAATAATAATAAACAGTTTGACACGTTGGATAATGAAACTGAGAAAAGTACTTTTAATCATGTTTGTAAAAATTCTTCGAAATTATCTTCCTCCAGTTCATCGTCACTTATTAAATCAGATAATTGTCATGCAGTAAGATCGAGTGATGAAAAATTACAAAAATTAACTCAACTTTCAGATAGCGCAACTACGTTAAATGATCAAAAAAGAGAATCGGAATCGAATTTAAAAGATACGAATTATACAATTCCACAACTTTATGATAGAATCCCACGATGTCGGAGTATCGAAATTTCAAAATTGGAGACCACGATACCAGATGGCACAAGAAATCAGAACGAAAATAAAGATGAAGAAGCAAATGAATTTTTGGCAGAAGAAATTTTCAAGGTGCATTCAGACGATGAGCTTCAGCAAATCGAACTTTTTAAGCAAAACGCTAGTTTTTATTATAGAAATGATGATCCAGGAACACCGGTTTCGTTTAACGACGGTAGTTTGATGGAGGAATTTTTAAACGATCCCGTGCCACCTTTAAACTCTTCTTTCTCTTAAGGGAGAAATTAGGTATTCTCAACAACATATTCTCAATAATAAAAATACGCGTTGTTAACTTACAACATAGATATTTAGGTCCATTTTCACAAGATAATTACCTAAAGATTAAAGGTTACCAAGAAATTCATGAATGAATTTTATTGATAAATCTCTTGGTAGCCTTTAATCTTAAAGTAACTATATATTATGAAAACCGGCCTTTAGTCTTTAAATAACATTTTGTGTGTAGTCATCATGTAAAGTCATCTAAAAATTAATCCGTATAATACATAAGAAAGATAAGTGGTCGTGGTTAATTATCAATTTTCATTATTAAAATACATGCTTTATTAATCAATCATAAAGTAATCTTCTATGAATGCAATAAAGAGATATTACAATAAAAAGTATGAATTGACAAATTTGCAGTTACGAAACGTCATTATTATCATTATAGAAAAAAATATACATTTTTACTTTCTGACATAAAGTAATAATGCTTGCAGTTGATCGATCGATCTTGACATTTCTTTTTTCATATACACATAAGATAATATATGAACAGTTATAATAAATTAAAGAAATATGTTACATACGATAGCAATATATTTTATTTCTATCAGATATAATAATTTTATATATCTAGTAAAAGTTTTATACAAATGTTTTACATATGTACAAAATATAATTATGCTAAAAATTTTACATGTAATTGCCTAATCATTGGTAACTCGGAAGTCTGCACAGTTTACAGTAGTAGGAATATTTAAATAACGTGCTTGTGCTAAACAATGCGTGTTAAATGTCGTACAAAGACATGTACGCTAGATCGTTCAATTTATCATAATTTACGATTAGATAATGCAGGAATACAATAAATAAACGGAATAATTTAAGAAAAGAAGTATGATGTTAAACTCTTCAATGCTGGAAATTTCAATGCTTAGACTTTAAAGTGACAGTGGAGTCAGATTAGAGTTTTAAAAAGACAGTCGAAAATTAATTTAATTTGAGATGTGAAAAGAATTTTTAACAAGTATCGTCGAGGCCCGGATCTGAATCAGGAACTACGTAATTAGGATCGCAGACCGTATCCCTGACAGCTTCTTTAACATTTGCCTTAAATACTCTGTAATTAATATTTGCGCTATTTAGTGTTCCGTATAAATACATCGGTAACCGGTTCGAGAGAAGCCACACATTTTGATCCGATTCGTGGTCCACTTTAATGTCGTTTGGAAACACTAAGGACTCGTTGCTAGTACCAATCACGCCTAAATTCTGCGGTATATATTCCTTTCTGGTGTCCCAACACCACACGGAGTCCCTGGTGGCCATGTTGAAGAACATGACGCCGTTTTTATCGATAACGGACCCCGAAGAATGGCCGTAGTCCTTGGCTCTAGGTTTTCCTACGGGCATAAATTTCTCCGTGTTAGAATCCGCGGTTCGCTTGTCCCTGAAGACCGACGTAGATACGGCGAACTCTCGGAAGCTAGACATCGGATGAAAAAACAGCGTTCTATCGTTATGAACGTCCACGGGACTAAGCGCCATTCCGAATATTCCGTCGGTCCATTGGAATTTTATACTGTGCAACTCGTATCTTGACGCCAGGGGATCAGGATAGAAAAAGTGATGCTCGACTCTGAAGGCGGAATCCTTAAAGAAGTCGTACACCACGATACCATATCGCCAGACGTCAGCTAAGTATGCTACTGCAGAGCCGCAATCGTTATTTCTGATATCCACCACGATGTTGATGTACAGGGAGTCTTGCTTAATCTGTTCATCCGGCAAGGTATATTTTCTGATAAGAGTATCGGTGCGTAGATCAAAGATAAATATGGCGGGCGGGCAAACTTGTTTGGATATTTTGGCGAACTCTGTTTTGCCAGAGTCGAGGATCCACAGACGATTGCACTCGTCCACTTGAACTCGAAAGACTGACGTTAAGCTCTCGCAGTTGTCTGGAAAGAGAGAGAATAAGCAATATTTGGTTATTATAGATTTGCAGATAAATTTTAAATAAATTAAATTTTTAGCAGAAAATTTTTCTTTAGAAAAACAATATAGTTCTTTCAAAATTGCTTTAAAATTTCGTTTCTCTTTAATTTGTTAACTTATTAGCTTGCTCTCCCACTGACGTTATAAATTAATAACTCTTAATGATTCGCGCTTTTGTTTCGTTAAGAAATGGAAGGCAAGTTTGTTTGTTATCGCAAGACAATTCGCGTGAGAAACTCATTTACTCAGTTTCCGCACTTTCTTGATTGCATGAAAAATGCTGTTTCTTATATTCTTATAGACTCTTCGCGTAAGTTTAACGTTATATAATTCATAATCTATTCTCGCAGAACTTTTCTGCATCAAAATCACTTTCTTATCTCCATATCATAACTTAAATTGCAAATTGAAACTGTGTTTTTAGATTAGTCACAGCATTTTTCTTAAATTTTTTAACTATATTTTGGACAGTCTATTTTTATACACGTTAAATTTGCAATATGAAGCACAATAAATTCTCTTTTCGGTATTTTTCTCCAGTATTAGAATATTTATTCATTATACGTTTTCTTGCATTAAAAAATATTAACTTTAAAATTATCTAAAAATTAAAATGACTACTATTGCATGATAATTACTTAGCAATTTTCATGCAAGAATAATAGTCTAAAAAAGACAAAGGATAGGATCTGATAATTAGCATAAAGATAACCTGGCTCATGCCATTGCCAATTAGGGTACGGTTTTAATTTCGGGCTCTTCGTCTTGGAATGTCTGGGTACGGTAGCCAGAGTCACCGGTATGCCTGTTTTCCATTTTGGCAGAGTAATGAATACTTTATCACGCCAGACTTCCAGGCCCAGAGGCAAGTTATTTTCTGCGATGTAGTCGCCCTCGAATATAGCGTTGTCTCGTGCGTCGATACTGTCGAATTCAAAATCAATCATGGGCCAAGCGTACACCTATTAAAAAATTGTCAACCATAAATACGAAGCTTGTTGAAAAATTCACAATACCTATATCAGTCATCTTGAATTGCAATTACGTGTGAATAATTTTTTTGTCAAAGAAAATTTCAATTTTATAAGATCCTGTAAAATAGTTTTTAACTTTTTTATTGATCTGTGATATATCACGTAGATATACAATAATCAACTACTTAAATGCAGCAAAAACGTGTTACTTTTTTTACTTATCAAATGATTACTGACAAATAACAGCCCAGATAGCCAAATCTGTAGAAGGCAGATTTTTTTTAATGTCTGCTGCACACTATGCCAACAAAATATCAACAGAATTGTTACAAAATTAGATGTACGTAATACTGTTGACAGACTGTTAGAAAAAATGTAACAGAATGCCTTCACATTATGTCGATGTTAACAGAACACAAGTCTAATGTGGACACAGTTGATGGCAGACTGTCGTCATTTTCTGCTCAAACCCGCTAACAGTTTGCTAGAAGACTGCAGACATTTTGCTATCTGGGAGAATAACGAGAATTACGATATACTACAACTGATTCATTATTTCTATATTAATAAAACTATATGTATCTATATCAAATGGTCTATATCAAATTATATAAATTATTTGAGCGACTTTCTTAAGAAGTAAATTCTTAAATTTCTTAAGAAAATTTGCTTTCAATATTACATTTAGAAATCGACGACGTTTAGTCATTGCGAAATCTTTTGAATAGCTTTTGTCTAAATTTGCAACAAAAAAAAAACGCTACTTACTAATTCCATAGCGGGACCAACGTAGTCGTCTATAATGCGTCCCGGCTCGAAACCATCACCGAAATCATGGAAATCTAATTGATTGACCGAGTGAGGATCCGCGCGGAACATATCGATGGTTCTTCCAATGGACCTGGAAGGATTGCTTCTTCCCAGATTCGATGTAGCAATGTGGTATCGTGATTGCGGCGTTGACCCGTAAAGATTGCCTACGTTCGTAGAATCCGTTGATTTTTCCTTCGGCGGATGATTATCGCAATTTCGCGACGTGCCGGCATGTTCATCATAAGTCAATGCAGAATCTTTGTAGTTGATGTTCTAGCAAAATGAAATTTCACGAAGTGCACATTACTATTTTTAATCAAAGAATTCGAAATAAACAGAAATGGGTTAGATCTTTAATTGTAAATAAGACAGATATTATTATGTGTACATTTTTTTAACACATTTTTTAAAATAAATATTTCAGATCAAAAATTTGAAGGAAAAATTAGAAATAATTTTATACGATTAATTCATAATTGATTAAATAAATTGTAAATTAACTAAATGATTTATAATTGCAAATAAAATTGTTTATGTTGTTTCTTACATGCGAAAAAAATTGTGGAGTGAAAAAGGATGAACTTAACGGTAACGAGGGTGCTTGAAGGTCCCTGGATAAAATACTGGGACTCGTGTAAGCTCCTAATTTTGGGACAGCCAGTAGCGACATTGACAGCAACCATGGAATCGTGCTCGCCATGCCTGTGAAGCAAAATTTAAGGTCTCCTGTGTGATGAAATTTGCATTTTCATGATACGAAATTGCATCAAATTACTTATTACGTTTTGATAATCCTATTACATCGTTATAACTGTTATGAATTATTAGTCAATAAGAATTATAAAATTAAATGAAAATAAATGAAAGGAGTACTGATGTGTGTTCCCAATACGATTAGAAATGCAGTGAGATCTTCGCGGAGTCACACATCCGACGACTTGGTAATGATTATCTCCTTTATTGAGGTAAGTAGGCTTCGCGAGGCAATATTATCAATACACTGAACCTCGTAAAATAGCGCGCACTCGGGACTTGTCGGGACTCTGAGTGCACTATATCGAGGTAACCCCCACTTCATCCCCAAACCGAAAATCCAGGATCGTTGCGATATCATTTTATCTAGCTTCAGTATGCGCTTTAAGACTGCACTGTTAAAAATTTCATGAAATTTAATGTACTTTTAAGTTACACAATTTGAATTTAATTTCATAACATTACATTAAATTTTATGTAATTTCTTGTAATTTAGAACTGAAAAGTAGATTTGTGTACATGTATGTGAAATTTAATGTATTTTTCATGAATCTTTATGAAATTTAATGTACACGTTTATTACATTTAAGTAACTTAGATTTCAGTTAAATCATTTATTACTTTTAATTTCTTTTATAACCACGAGCTTCATTTACATAAAGGAAGCATTTCTAACAATGTGTGTTCGGTATGCAATTTATAAAACTGTAAAATGTATTTAAGATTTA